AATCTAGGAGACACAATCTCTGAAGGAAATGAAGCTTCTGTTCAAGATAAGGCAAAGGCCATGATATTCCTCCGTCATCACCTCCACGAAGACCTGAAAAAGGAGTATCTCACCATTGAAGATCCCCTCGAATTGTGGAAAAGCATTCAAGAGCGCTTTAATCACCAGAAGTTGATCTTACTGCCAAAGGCTCGTTATGAATGGCTCCATCTAAGACTACAAGATTATAAATCAGTCTCTGAGTACAATTCCGCACTTTTCAGCATCACCTCCGTCCTGAAGTTATGCGGAGAACCAATAACTGATAAAGAAATGCTTGAAAAGACTTTTTCTACGTTCCATACATCTAATATTAATCTGTCGGAGCAATACAGAGAACGTAAATTCACTAAGTATTGTGATTTGATATCATGTCTGTTGGTAGCAGAACAAAACAAAGAGTTACTCGTGAGAAATAATCAAGCACGACCAGTTGGTGCGAGCCCATTCCCTGAAGTGAATGTGGCAACTACTCAGAGTGGACGAGGGAGAGGAAGAGGCCGCGGCCCCAGCAGAGGACGTGGTCGTGGACGAAGCAATACATGGCATCGAGATTCTTATAATCCTAAGCATGGAAAGGGTAAACTGAAGCAGAATGATGGGGGACGACCCCCGAAGGGTAAAGCTAAAGGAGGCCAAGAAAATACATGTTTCAAGTGTGGCATGACCAACCACTGGTCTCGAACATGTCGCACCCCTAAACATCTTGTGGAGGCATATCAACGAATGATGAAAGAGAATGAAAAGGGAAAACACGTTGAGACAAATCTCGTTGATACCACCACTACCTCATCAATTTCTACTATGCTCACAAACACTCATCTAGATGCATCTGATTTCATTGAGGACCATTAAACCATACTGCGTAGTTTTTTTTCTTCCCTATCTTTACGACTATTGTTCTAGACAATGTGTTGCATTCATTTGGATTTTTGGTTTTGAACTTGTTTGATGTTTTTCCTATGCTCTCTATTATGCCTATTATTCTTATCCAAAGCTTTATGAGGTGATTTATTAAATGCATGAATAATAATCATTATTTTATTTCTTGAAGAAATATGAACACAAGCTCCAGCAGAGCTCTTATTGGTGATGAATGTTTGGTAGATAGTGGTAGCACCAACACAATCCTAAAACATAAGGAATATTTTTCTGAATTATTTCCAATCAAAATACTTGTTGGTACTATCTCGGGTGCTAGTGACCTAATTGAAGGCTCTGGAAGAGCATGCATCATATTACCATCGGGTACAAAATTAATTATAAATGATGCATTATACTCAAGTAAATCCAGAAGAAATTTACTTAGTTTCAAAGATATAAGACAAAATGGTTACCACCTCAAAACCACATCCGAAAATAGTAGAGAATACCTACAGATTATTTCCAATGAGGACATTTTAGAAAAGCTAGAAGCTTTA